TTATTACAATAAAAAATATGAATTAACGTATTGAAAATAGATTTTAAAAAAGCATTTTGTTAGTTTATTTAAAGGTGTTCCAGTGAACAGGAAATGTATATAATAGTTTCCAAACACATTTAATTTTGAAATAAACGGAAACTTACTAAGCACAACAACAAACATGATATTTTTACGTTTCTGTCCATTTGGGTTTTAAGATTTTTTTTTGCAGTAATATCCAAACAAAGGGAAATATATACAATAGTTCTCAAAACATACACACTTATATATGAATAATTACTATTACACCGCATTATATTTCATGCAAAAGGAATGTACATTTGAGAAACCATTTGGGTTTGAAGAACTCACAAAATTAATTATTTTTTTTGTAATAAAAAAATGTTTAAATTTCTGTACAGTAATTTCCGTACAACTTAAACGACGTATACATTAGAACTTTTACGGGATTAACCTATTTTATGAGGATTTATTTGACATATATGCAAAGGAATTGACAATTGAAACCCACTGGGTTCACGAAATCTGTTTTAAAAAATAAGGAAGATCTCGACCGATTGGATTTATCCTAGTTCATACGATAGCTATACACTCACAGAGAAACGTCCCAAAATTTGGAATCGATCGGATTATTATTTTTTTGACTTATCGTGCCCGCCATTCGCAATCGAGAAAAATTCGTTTAAAGCTTGAGAATCACTCTTGCCATCTGTTCAGGAGGCGCGAGAGCTTATGTATGGGGAGACCGACAACAACTCGCGATGTTTCTTATCCGGCTCGACGGACCAAATGTTTAGGCGTGGGATTTGCTTTACTCCTCGCCGTGATGACGGTGGTTGGGGTGGTCAATATATGTATTAACTCAAGGGACAACAAGAGAACTCCCATGCAGTTAATGGTGTGTGGAATAGAAAAGAAATTGCAAAAAAAAATAAAACACAAGAATTATTAATATAATATTCTAAGTATCTTGGATTTATTGGTGGTATTCTTTCTTTTCTTAATACAACAAATAAATTAACTTTGTAATTTGTGGTGGCGACAGAGGCCTTAGTATAATAACGTGTAGACGTTAGGTGACTATTTAACTCTATGGAGGTTGGTCGACAAGTGAACGCTGTGGTTCATGCAATCACAGAGGATCGCGGTGATCGCTGTGGTTCGTTTGTCGTTTACTTTTACATTTACATATTCCAATGGGAGAAAATGTCAAGCAAGGAGAGCGAAACAACAATAACCACCGCTCGTTGGCATCTGCACTCGACGGTCTCCGCTGAGGGAACTTTCCTGAGGAGATGCCCGTGGTGTCAATCAGCAGACGTGATTGACTGAGCTCGGGAAGTTGAGTCAGAACGTATCATTCTTGGATTTTTGTTTGGCATTTTGAGCTGGAGATAAAATTTGTTCCTTGAAAATGTAAAATTAATGACACAGTGCGTCTCGAAAATTATTCAGGGTTCTAATGTACCAATTCTGTTGGAGTCCCTGGAACACGAAAATACCTTTGGTTTTTCTGGGTCACTTTGAAAATTAGTTTTATAACGGTAAATGTAGAGAAAAACGTGAACTCATAGATTTTTGATTTGAAACGCGAATAACTTCTATTATTTCTAACGGATTTGTATTATTTTATTTTCGAAGAGTAGAATTTTTTCTTTCAAACAAGATATATATTTGGTAAATCGGTTGAGGATTGGCTGAGTTACAGTGGTTGAAATGTGAAAAGTTTTATAAGTTTTATTATACAGTAGACCACGGATATAAGAACATCCAAAAAAATCGAGAAATTTGTTCTTATAAGCGGGTTTTTCTTATATGAATGTATTTTATATAATAAACCGCATTCTTATATGGGTGTAACCTTTTCTTATGTTCGTGTTTTTCTTATATAAGATGACAGGATAAAATTCTAGGACGATATAGCCGTGTTCTTTGGATGTAATCTCGATATCAACGAAATTAGCTGCAATTTCATATATTCGTTTCGGCCGCGGCTTTACAGGAAACCAAGCTCAATGAAAATTGTAGCCTACATTCTGATAAAGGAAAGCACTAGAAGTGGAGGTGGGGGCCACCATTCCTTATGCGCCACTCTGTTCAATATGTAATATAAAGGGCAATAACTGTCTGGTACTAGGTGATTCAATGCTGACAATGAGTTGTGGCATTCCGTTCTATGTAATGACCAGAGGGGACCAGTGCTGACAGAGCAAATTGATAGCTCCACGTTCTTTGTTCATACCACCTCCCCATAATCGTCTCCATAAGCAGACAGTCCTATTTCATCATCTCTGAACGCCGCACTTTTCTTAAGCATAGGAAAGCCAACTGACAAGGATTCATAGAGTTCAAAGACCAGCACGTCAGAGAACTTTCCATTCCTTCTGATGTACAGGTAGCAGAAAAGAAATTCGGAGACATCATTGCAGCTACATTTGCTAGATTTATATCTGCTGGTCGAATACCCGAGATGAGACCTAATTTCCCTGCACAACCAGTTCGTCCAGCAAATGAGCGTGATGACCTCCGTCGATCTAACCCAGCAGATCCCAGGGTCAGGGAACTTACGTTGGAGGCCAGTAGATAAGTCGCGGAACAAAAACGGTGTAAGTAAACTGTGGAAAATGATTAAGACAATCAGTCACATTTAACGAAAAACTGTGACTGATCCGAAAAGATGCGCTAACTATTTTAACCGACAGTTTGTCAAGCACCCATAGATCGACAAGTTGCATGTGTCATCCGTTGGGCTCTGACGGAATATGCTGAAACAGCTAGACGAGTCAGGATTTGTGTACCTGATCAGAGTCCTTAATTTGTCGATAGGACACCTGTGTCCAGTAGCGAAGGCATTACTCCTCACCAGAATTAAGGAAAGCTATCCAGTATCATCAACGAGGGTTCCGTAAGCGCAACAAAGGCGTCGCACTCCATCTCCGCACAATAAGGACTTAAGGGAACCCCCCCCCCCCCCATTCTCGATTTTTTATTTTTAAGATTTTAAATGGGCTGGTAAATGAATACCAATGCTTGTTAAGGTTTGTAACTTGGCACATATATATTTGAAGATTTAAAGAGGAAGAAAAATAATTTACCAAAATTTGTTGTTGTTTTGTTGTTGTTTTTTGGGTTCAAAGAAAAGATATTTTCGATGGCGGGAATGATAACTCCTCACTGGAACATATCCGAAAATTCCAACGAGGGGACATGTCTGGCTCTCGTATGAACTAGGATTATTGACTTCGCACAATAATTAACAAAATGGCGGAACTTTAAACATTTTTTTATGGAAAATCGCCTATTTTTTACCACAAACTAAGTTAAAAAATAAGGAAGATCTTCACCGATTGGCTTTATCCTAGTTCATACGAGAGCTACACACTCCCAGAGAAATGTGTCAAAATTTGAAACCGATTGGATTATTAGTTTTTGAGTTATCGTACCCGCCATTCGTTTTGAGAAAAACGCGTTTAAAGGTTGAGAAGTCCTTTAGCCGTCACTTGATGCTGACACAATAAATCGGCTATATCTTCAAGAGTTCTTGAGATTTTCACTTGAAATTTTGTAGGAACATTCTAGAATTAGAGTGGATTCGAATTAAATCAAAAAAAATTTTGACACCGAGAATGGGGGGGTCCCCTTAAACAGAAACAGCGCTAGGCTGTACATCGAGAGCACTTCCCTCCGGCCAAGTATGAAACGTTCAATAATTTACAGAGTGTAGTGATATCTCCGGAACTGTTTATCATCTACCTTTCCGGCATTCCATGCCCTTCGGACGACATCGCGAGCGCTGTGAATGCCGTCCTGGGGACGTTTTTCAACGTAATCAGCTCTAATTTTGTATTTTGGATTCTTACTGGATAGAAAATATTCCTACTAAAAATGATCAATACTGGTCCTGGTCCAAATTTCGGTTTTGGGGTTGTTTTGCCTCTAATTTAATTTTTCAGGTTCTTATGGTTATATCCTACCAAAAATAGTTAAAATCGGTTTATGTTTTCGGTATTTTGTATACCATTCATTACCTTTTGTACTCTTGTAAATAAGTACTATTTCCTAAACCAATTGCAAATTTCATGATTCAAGCTCTCTCGATTCACCTAAATCCAAATTGTATCGAATTTAGTACCATTTAGCATTGAATTATATTATATTAATATAAATTTCCGTAACTATCTACCTCAACAACCCAACAGTGTCATTATTTCAAATTTTCAGGATCCAAGCTCTATCGGTTCATCTAAATCAAAATTATATCAAATTTATTACCCATAAACACAAATTTGTAAAACTAAATCCATATCCCCAACCCCAAACTCCAACAATTATGCAATTTCGAAATTTCAGAGCTCCAGCTCCATCGTTTTACCTAAATTAAAATTTTACCAAATTTAGTACCCGTAAAAAATGTCCAAAACTGCATCCATACCCAAATCCTACACTCCAACAGTAATCTTAATTCCAAATTTCTGGATTCAACCTCTATCAGTTCACATAAATTCAAATTGTACCAAATTTAGTACCATTTAGTTCGTATGATTTCAGATCCATCCGGTCCTTAAAATTCAAAATTCTTATTACATTTTTTAAATGATTTATTTAGGAATATTGCATATATATTGTTGTTGGTTTTTATTTATTTTCTTGTTTTGTATCAAATAAACGCATATTAACATGGAATGGAAAAAAATATAACTTAAAAAAAGCATTTTATACAGAATGCTAAGAAGAGGAGGGAAAAAACTTATTAAGCAAAAAAATAAACAAAATGATAACCCTTTACTCCATTGAAGAAATATATTGTGTAACTAAGAACATATTTGTTTTTTTCGATCTACATACACATATTAACATAAATATGAGGCTAATGTTATAAATTATTTAAATTTTTTTTTTGTTTTGATGGGGGTACATTTTTTTGATATTAAGCAAAAAAATCATATTTTAAAGATGCTGACAGAGGATCGCAAAGCCTGAATTTTAATGTGTGTTATTTGTTTTAATATTTATAACGATACATAGCCACACCAGCAACACCAATCAATATGGAACCCATTAGATAGCCCAGTAATTTCAGCTGTAAAAAGAAAGAAAAAAAACTAATGGGTTAATAAACGATATTTTAATGAAATTATATTATCTGGTTCGAACCTTAGAACTTTCAACAGTTTGTTGTTTTTGTGGTTGTTTGTTTTTCTGTTCCAATTTATTGGCTTGTCCCAACATTTTCTGATACATTTTCTTTTCGTTGTGTTCTTCACGTCTGGCCTTAATGATTAATTTGGCCAAATCCTATAATAAAAATAAGAAAATATTAGATACCAACATAATGTAATAAACATATGAAATTAAAATTTGTATAAAGAAGTGCACAAAAAATGCTTAAAGTTTAAAACAATCGAGGTCAAAAACCCCGTAATGCCTTTTTCTCTATATCAACGACCAGTCGGAAATTTATTTTACCTGTTGAATAGTTCGATTTTCGGGTTCCAATGTTGCTGCTTTCTGTAGCAATGATATGGCTCCTTTTGTATCACCCTTACCCTCAAGAATCTGTAAACAAATACAATATTTTAAAACAATTATTTAAATAAATCTCCAATATAACTTACCCGTCCTTTTCTGTACAAAGCCTTTGAGTTATTTGGCTGACACCGTAAAACATGCTCCACCGACTGTAATGCAGCATCAAATGCAGATATTTTAATTTGGGCCATTGCCAAATTATTATAGACAATTAAACGATCATCTAATAGAGATTGCAATTCATTGTTACTCAGCTGGAAAATTGAAAGCAAAAATTATTTATGAAATATCATGTTTCCCGCCCCATAATTAATTAACTTACATCAATATCTTCTTTGTCGAATTCATTTTCAGGATCACCATCACGATTATCCAAATATTCTAGGGCACGTCTATATAATTGTATGGCGGTATTGTATTCACTGCGATTATACCAGAAATTGGCACGTTCCTTTTTGCGGGTTCTAAAAATAAATTGAAAAAAAAAAACATAATGAAATGGAGACTACTTGAGTTGGATGGGCCAGATTAAAAAGAAGCAGTATAAGATGATGCAACAATTTGGCTACTATTTAAACTTCCACATGGGTATTTCATCAGCAGATGGACTTCTTTTAAGACCTGTCCCACAGTCGATGTAGTCAGGATTGGACACACTCGGTTGTTTTATAAAGAATAATAAGGGGGATAGAGAGAGAGAGATGAGAAGCTTACAAAGGAGTAAGAGAAAGTAAATATGAGATAGTATCGATGGCTATAGAGATCGGACAGAACCACTTAAGGTTTCTAATTATGCTGTAGACTAGAGCAGGTTCAGTTGTTGAGACTCGGTGGAAAATGAGCACCCACTAGTATGTGCCGTCTGTAGGCCAGGACTGGGCAGCGACACAGGAGATGCTCAATTGTCTCCGTTTCCTCCTCGTCAACGCAGAGTCTACAGTAATCAATAGCATCATGGTCCCATTTACTGGTAAAGGCCTTGATATTGCAATGACCAGTAATGATTCCTGTCATTACTCTTATTTCAGCTTTTCTCAGGTTCAACAGTTAGTTTGTCCTCTTTGTAGACAGAGTCGGCCAAATAGATCTTGACACATTGCACCTAGGTTCGTTGTGCCTCCGATAATTTCTAGATCTATAGATTGAGATCCTCGTCTAGCTAATTCGTCTGCTCTTTCATTATCAAAGATAGCACGGTGTCCTGGTACCCAACACAGCCGATAGCTGTAAGTTCTTCCAAAATTGTTCTACACTTGAGGACGGCCTCAGATTTGATGTAACAGAATTTGATGGCTTTAAGAGCCGCTTGATAGTCAAAAGATAGTCACCGGTTCAACGATCTCTGCATACAGGCTTTTTTATCAATTCCGCTGCCTTCCAAAACGCGAAGATTTCAGTTTGGAAAACACTACAGTTGCTATCCGGCTTGTAGGTAAGCTCAAGGCCTCTAGCCTTTCTCAGTAGACGCCAGTCCCTGTACCTTCTTCCATCTTGGATCCGTCTGTATAGAAAGCCAGACCGTCCTGAGGAGGGTTACTCCAGTTCCAGTCCAGCATTGCGTTAAACGCTGTTTGTTGGGTGCTTCTCGTGGCTCCTGTTATTAAAATTATAGCGGCTCTTTGTACCATATCTAGTTTGTTGGATGTCGATATGTGGCACAGGCAGTTCCACCAAACAAGAGAATCATAAGAAAGGATGGGCCTTACCACGGTGTTATACAACCAGTGTATAGGCGATGGTTTTAGCCCCCCCAACCTTTCCCAATGGAATTATTGCATGCATAGAGTGCAATCAGCCCTCTCTTCGCCCGTTCCTCAGCGTTTCTGTTCCATCGTAATTGGCAGTCCAGTATAGTGCCAAGGTACTTTGCTTCGGGTGATAGATGAAACTGCACTCCATCCAGGAGCAAAGACGCCGAGCTTACGTTTCCTAGTGAACATTACCAGTTCCGTCTTTGTTGGCGACATGGAACTTGTTCTGGCTTTAGAAAGGACTTTCGCCTGCAGAAAATGTTTGGAATGGGTTTTTATAGACTTTTTTAAATCGTCTTTTTTTATGTTTATAGAAATGGCTGTAAAGCCACTATGCTTTATATAAAGATATTCATAAAAATTCTTCTTTTTTAAATACTCTCTTAAAATGTTTTCTGTATATAGAGAATCTTTTGGAGGCCTGTTTTGACTTTCATATACAGATTATACAGATACATGTTCAAAAGATAATTTCAATAAAAGTTCCTCTACAAAAGTGTTTTTGAAAGACGTATTTGTATTGTTCCCATTAAAGGCCTTTCTATGGAAGGATTTAGTTAGGAATTCTGTGTTAAAAATAAAACAAAATATTTATTTATTTTTACTTTCCCCTTACCCATATTTCTTGCGAATGTCATATGATTTCAAATCCGAGTAGTCTTCATATTTGGTATCTAATAAATGCACTTCATAGGTAAGCTGCAACAAAAAAAAAAAAAAAAAAAACAAAAATCTGTTTAGAATTCTTTAATCCGGAGAATCAATTTGCTCACCTTAGAATCTGGGGGAATGCTCAGTTCAGGATCGGAGTCATTTTTCAAGCCCAATGAACCATAAGCAAAGCGGGGATCAACTTTTACTTCAGCTACTTCGTCCACATTCATCAAGGGTATGACCATATCCAAACCTTGGATTACCTGTAAAATATTATTGTTTGGTTTGACTACAAAATCATTAAAAGTATTTTATTAAAAAAATATACCTCAAAATCGCCCACATGCACTTGAAAGTTTTCTTGCTTTTCCACCACCTTGCCATCGTCCAATTTGCCCGTAAAGTTCAAAGTAACTTTATCGCCTCGCTGTGGACGTTTGTTAACTTTGGACTTTTTCAAAACACGTTTTACTAGCTGACCATTGCCCAAAACATCGCAAACATCTTCCTCCTCCTCCTCGGCGTTCGCGGTCTTTGTTTCTTCACCTGCTCCATTGTTGTCGTCACTACCACCAGCGGCAGCTTTTGCTGCTTGCCGTTCTTTGTCTAACAATGCTTCGGAGGCGGCTTTCATATCGGCCTTGTCGGCTTCATTTAAATTCGAAAGATCTTCAAAAGAGCTATTGCTGGATTTCTCAGCGTCCATTGTGATGACAAAGCGTTTTTTATCTTTCTCTTTTTTGTTGACAAAATGAAGATTAAAAAAAAAAAACGAAAAAAATATACATAAATATGTGCGACTCAAAGACAATTCTCGAAAAGGTCAAACAACAATGAACATGAACTCTGAATTAAGCAACACCATCTGATCCAGCACATAACACTTACATATATATTACAACAAAAATACAAAAACTGATGAAATGTTGTTAACACGTCTATTGCTACGTTGTTGCATAAAAAGTTTAAGTTTTTGGTTTGGAAATTGTGTGGTTTCAAGCTTCAGAAATATCTCCAATCCTTTTGTGAAAAAAACGGAACGAACTAGTTCATTGGAACTATTCCGAGAAAGGAACGAACGGAACTAGTTCCAGTTCTTTAATTAATATAATTCCTTTCTCTGATCCAGTTCCTTTTTTGAACTATTTGAAGCAATGGAACTGTATGGAGCAAAGGAACTATAAAGAGCAAAGGAACTATATGGAGCAAAGGAACTATTTGGAGCATAGGAACTATAAAGAGCAAAGGAACTATATATGGAAAAACGAAAAAAAAATAATAAAAGAGAGAGAGAGAGAGATTCAAAAGAACAGTGGGAAGCCTCCAAGACTCCAGCCTTCATAAAATTCGCTTGTTAATCGTCGTTCTGCCAAGACTCAAGCGACGTCGTACGCAAACCTTCGCCAACAAATGGTCTGTTCCAGTACTTTTTATACCCTCCACCATAGTATGGAGGGTATATTAATTTTGTCATTCCGTTTGTAACTCATCGAAATATTCATTTCCGACCCTATAAAGTATATATATTCTTGATCAGGGTAAAATTCTAAGACGATCTAGCCATGTCCGTCCGTCCGTCTGTTGTAATCACGCTATCTTCTGAAGGAATTGAGATAGGGTGCTGAAATTTTGCATAGGGTTGTCTTTTGTCTGCAGGCAGGTCAAGTTCGAAGATGGGATATATCGGTCCACGTTTAGGCATAGCTCCCATATAAGGGTACCCCCCAATTTTCGGTATTTTGGGGTTCTTGAGCGCGTTTTTCAAGCGAATTTGTAGTAAATGTATCCACAAAAAATTATAAATATAGGTCCACTTTTTCTTGTAGCCCCCATATAACGGTACCTCCTAATTTTCAGTATTTTTTGGGTTTTTATCGTATTTTTCACCGAATTGGCTGTAATTTAGTATTTTGAGTTCTTAGCAGGTACCAAATCTCTCCACAAAAAAATTTAAATATAGGTCAATTTTTTCGGATATCCCCCATATAAGGGTACCCCCCAATTTCGGTATTTTGGGGTTCTTGAGCGCGCTTTTCAACCGAATTCGCTGCAATTTTGTACATTGGGTTCATATTGCGTACCAAATATCTCTACTAAAAATTATAAATATAGGTCCACTTTTTCTTGTAGCCCCCATATAACGGTACCTCCTATTTTTTGGGTTTTTATCGTATTTTTCACCGAATTGGCTGTAATTTAGTATAGCAGGTACCAAATCTCTCCACAAAAAAATTTAAATATAGGTCAATTTTTTCGGATATCCCCCATATAAGGGTACCCCCCAATTTCGGTATTTTGGGGTTCTTGAGCGCGCTTTTCAACCGAATTCGCTGCAATTTTGTACATTGGGTTCATATTGCGTACCAAATATATCTACTAAAAATTATAAATATCGGCCCACTTTTTCTGGTAGCCCCCATATAAGGGCACCCCAAATTTTCGGTATTTTGAGGTTCTTAAGCGCAATTTTCAACCCAATTCGCTGAAATTTGTTACATTGGGTTCTTATTGGATACTAAATGTCTCCACAAAAAATATAAACATGGGTAGCCGCCATATAATATCTGCTTGGCAGTATTTTGGGGAAAATTATAAATTAGCTGTTTAGTACTTTTTAATATTTCAAATACTCCACAAAAAATTATGCATATAGGTCCATTTTTTCTGGTAGCCCCCCATATAAGGCTACCCCCAAATTTTCAGTATTTTGAGGTTCTTAAGCGCGATTTTCAACCGAATTCGCTGAAATTTGGTACAGTGGGTTCATATTGGGTACCAAATTGTTTAAAATTATAAAGTCCACTTTTTCATTTCAAATACCTGTCAGTATACCTGTAAAAGGGAAACATTTCAAGTCTCAGAGTACAAAATAATTTGAAAAGTTCGGGAACGCAAATCTAGTAAATATGCCAAAATTAGATGGCAATACTTCAAAATCAACATAACAAAAAGTTTACAAAGAGAAAGCCATTTTGTTTTTTTTTTTTTTTTTTTTTTATTTATTATTTTGGTTGGCCCACTTTCTATAGGGATAGAAGGTTTAGTGCCATGTATCCGTATGTAGCTTTGCTACGAATTTGACTTTATCCATAGATGGTGGTTTGTGTTTTGCAGGTTGACTTCGATCTTCTTTAAGAATTTGACCACAATGTTCAGACTTTCTAAGCCTTGTGTATCAGTGAACTCTTCTACTGTGAAGGAGTCACATAGTAGCGAAAAGCATCTTCTTTTGCTATTAAATTTACGAAAATTAAAAATTTCATGCGCAGCTGTTTGGATTTTGTTGAACGACTCGTAATTTATAGGTTATCCGTATTTAAAAACACACGTGTTAGTTAAGCGAACGCTTAACAACCGCCATTTTGTAAAAATCTATTTTTAAGCCCGTGGGCGTGTAGTACTCATTTAAAATTTTTTTACGTCTTTCTTGTGAGCCGTCCGAGGACGAACTGAAGCCATTTTGTTTTGTGCTCTCTTAAATTTGATTCAATGCTTTACCAGTTTTATGGGTTCAGGAACGGTTTTCGAGTAAAAAGTTGCAAAACTTGTAAAATTAGTAGATTCTTTTAGGTTTTGGAACGGAGCTAAAATAAAAACGACGACTGAAAAAATTGAAAAACGTTCCACCTGACTAAATGGAAACCGTGTTGTTTACGAATGAGGTTTAGACAAATTATGATTAGGGATAAGTAAATCGACTTTCGATTAATCGACTTTTTGTATTGAAAAGTCTAATGCCATGTACAGACGAGCGTTGTTCCCTCTCTCATTCGTGGTTCGACTCTTAATTATGAAGTAATTACATAGTTCAAAGGAACTACATTAAGGAACTAGTTCCTTTTTAAAAAAGAAACGAGAATGATCGATCCGCTACGTGAACTAGATTGCCCAACTCTAGAAAAAATGCAAATATATGGCCTATAAATAAGGTCACCCAGGGAGACCAGCTGATAATCGATACCTCTCAAGTTTGCTGTCAAAATGCATTATTGTGAATTGACTTCCATTATGAAAACGTTAACAAAGTCCAAATTTTTTAAATTAGACTTGAGAAAAAACAGCTGTTTTCCGATTTCGATTGCTATCTTGGTGACCTTATTAATAGATCATGGCCTATAAATAAGGTCACCAAGGGAGACCAGCTGATTGTCGATACTTCTCAATTTTGCTGTCAAAATGCATTGAGGAAGCAAATTGTGAATTGACCATTGTCATATGTGTTACACATATATAAACATAAACAAAGATGTGGAAGCGAAATTTTTGACATTCATGTTTTTCAATTTTTATTTTGAGAAAAACAGCTGTTTTTTATGATTTTGTTTACATTTTTCTGTCAAATTGGTGACCTTACAACAACAAATTTCCATGTGGTTGTTGATCGTTTTTTGTACAACAACACTTGCTGTTAACTTTTATTATTATACCATGACTTTTGATCATGGTGAAAATCGCAAAGGGGGATTTCGATTTTCCTTATAATTGGTTTTATCATCGTCTCGCTTTTGGTCCGATCCAAGGTGTATTTAATAAGGTGTAAGTGACAATCATATGGTTTCAAACTTTTTTCTTTATTGTTTGTAAAGTAAATTGTCAAAAACATTTTCAATATTACATTTCGATTTCAAAAATGTTCTTTAAATTGAGGCTTTTTTAATTATAAAAAATTCAAGAAAACTACATTCATAGAGGCGGACGGAAGGGAAACCTAGGCTCAGTTATATCCCCGTGTGTGGAAATCTGTCCAGAAATACCAGCTACTCATAAAATCGGAGAGATTATGTTAGCCTATATCACAATTCTCGGCGGAGGTTAAATACGCATATGGAAAGATTTTATACGGTCAACACTATTTCCATGATTTAGTCTTTGGCCGGGGATTCATGTCTTTCAATTTTCTTTAAGAAGGCAAGTAAATTGAAAGACACTACTCCATAGAAAAATAGATTGTAATTCACAATATAAAAATCGTCACAAGAAGCCATGGGCTGCTGTGGGAAACTTAAAATTAATCGCGACCAGGTCTTAAACTATATTTTTCACTGAACATAAAAACTTATTGCCAGCATGACAATTTAATTTCTATAACAACAATGTTGTTTTTGTAAAATATTTGTTGTTGTATCTGATGCATAGTCTGCTTTTCCACAGGCAGATTTTTATTTGAAAATTTTTTGTTTTCTCTTTTGAAATTTTCGCTTGTTTTTCCATTAGCAAATTTTTCTTTGCCAAATTTGCGAATCAAAATACAAAAGAAATAAAATAAAAGTCAAAAGTGTTTGCATTTTAAAGATTTTTGTTTGATATTTTATTTATTTTTTATATATTTTATTATATAAATTGCAAAAATTAAAAATTAAATTTCACTTGCACAAATTAAAGCAACAGGTTTGTAAACAAAAGCCGGCTGTGTGTCAGTAAAGCGAATAGGTTCAAAAGGAAATGTCAACAAAATTGTTTTCAACGAACAGAGCAAAGCAGAATTTGCGTGTACGGCAAAGAACAGGCAAATTTTTTTTTTAACTCCCTCTCGCCTACAAACTCAGTATTTGCCAAATAAAAATTTGCCTGTGGAAAAGCAGACTTACATCTTATTAAATACACCTTGAGTAAGTATTACGATATTACGGAATCAGCTGAGTACTACAGTTACCTTGTATAATTGTACCATTCCTGCAAGCATTTGGAAGTGAGTTCTAACTTCAAAGTCGTACTACAACTTTATCATTTTGATGTGATTGTCACCGACTAAGCTTTCCCAGAATTCAGGTGACTCTATAGTTTCTTAGGCGACTAAATATGCTTGCAGGGATGAGTCGTATACAAAATGTGTGTGTATAATGTTTAAAAAAAATATATATATATTTATATATATTCTAAAATCCATTTGGTAAACATTGGTAGGAATAAAAGAATAAATCATATCCCCAATTTTGAAAAGAAAACCTGACATTCCATTCATTTTTCCCCGTTTTAGTAAAATGTTAAAAATATGCCAAATGAACAAAACGACTTGTTGCATTTGCATTTTTTATTAATTCTATCAATATAGCCCACAACGTAAAGCTGTATTTTCTCTTTGTTTACAAAAGATACCCTACCTTGTATAATAGTATCATAGTATAATCTTGTAGAACGGGAACAGACTAAATACAAGGCAGGATAGCATGAGGTGAATAACAAAAAATCAACGATGTTGTTAGTGGCTTCTTCTGTCAAATATACGGATATGTTCTGAAACTCTCTGTATATTATAATTTAAAAAAAATTAAAAAGATAACATTAATAAAGAAATACTTGTGTTATTTACCAAAAAAATTGGAAAATTTTGTTCTTTACTCAATGTGTAAACTGATTTTTGACATACTGTATATATTTTGACAAGTAGATTTGCATAAAAATGTCCATGTCTGGTCAAATGTTTTTAAACTTATCGAATAATAACGTCCTCCCAATTTGACAACTGCACACTGTCAACCCATTGCAACTCTGCACATTTCTACGGTGTCAACACGACCATTCCTGTAGTCTATTACAATAAACTGCTAGAATGGTGCTAGAATTTTTAGCATGCATAATGGCGACGATTTCTTTTTGACAGTTGACTCTACTTTTGGCGCACGTGTTTTCTCACGCACCGTCCTCAAAAAATCAATTAAAATGTAATAAAATCTGTGAAATATCCGCTGAAATGGTGAAAATTCTAATCAAATAATTATTGTGTTGTAGATGAATGCCGAAAAATTGAAGAAATTGCAAGCGCAAGTGCGTATCGGTGGTAAGGGTACTCCTCGTCGCAAGAAGAAGATTGTTCACTCCACCCCCGCTACAGACGATAAGAAATTGAATTCTTCATTGAAGAAATTATCGGTCAACACCATCCCCGGCATTGAGGAAGTCAACATCATCAAGAACGATGGTACCGTCATCCACTTCAACAATCCCAAGGCACAGGCTTCGTTGCCCACCAACACCTTCGCCATTACCGGTCATGGTGAAAACAAATCCATCTCGGAAATGTTGCCAGGTATTTTGACACAATTGGGTCCCCAAGATATTACACAGTTGAAAAAGATTGCCAGTGAATTGGCCAATAAGAGTGGTGCTGCTGCGGGAGCTGCCGCCGCCGGTGCTGCTGCGGCAGCCAATGCTGGTGATGATGATGTACCCGATTTGGTGGAAAACTTTGAAGAAGTCGCCATTGGTGGTGCTGCTGCCAAGCCTGCTGAAACTTCAGAAGCTGCCAAAAAGCCCGAAGAAGTACCAGTAGCTTAAGAACAACAACAACAACAAAACACACATAATAACAAAAATAACCGGCGCAGAGGAGGTTACCTTTTGTACTAGAAGGGTAGTTTAAAGGGATGATAAACAATACCATTATTTTTACTATAATTATTAAAGAAAACACACACACACAGATAACTTTTTAATTAACTTTCATCCGTTTACTTGGAAATCATACAAGGAAGAGCATACACAATTTATTAGTGTTGGAGGAAGTTTTGTAAAAAAAGAAAAAAAAAATATTGGAAAAAGGGGGGTTTTCAAATCAAGTTGTGAGAGTTATTTTTATTGGCCCTCGACTGTGGATGCGAAAACAAAAAATCAGCTTTTGGGCAAAACGCGTGTAGTAAGCAAGTTTTTACTATATTTTTTTTATTTTAAACTTAACCATATATGCTTATTAAAAATACTATAGTAAGAAATATTTGTTAAAAAACAAGTGTAGTACACAACCATAATTATTATGATGATGAATACAAAAGAAACAAATTGTTTACTATTAAAGAGTACGGACATCTTTTGAAAAGTATGTCTTGGAAAAAAAACCACAACCCCAAAATGTGTTAACAAATTCCCAAAACAAACAACCAGTCACCTGGAATCATCCACATAACATTGAGAAACCCAACCATCATCAATCCATCCATCAATTTAAACATGTAGAGCTAAGAACGAACCACCAGTTCCATGGTTCTCTAAACTTCTACCAGCTGATCTGATGATTGATTCTTCACTTGCATGATTTTCAATAGCATGATTCCATAATTTACAATATGTTGATATACTATTATATAGACAAGAAACTATTAACAAATACTATGGCACTCCATTTAAAGAAACATTGCCAGTTTTGTAGGAGAAGAGGTTTCTATTTTTATTACATATTTTGTTTCTAATTTACAATTAAATCATTAGAAATTATTTTCTACGGTAATGTTAAGATAATGTGGTGTATAAATTTAAACTTTTTAATAGAGAAAAAATATGCTTGCTTATGCAAGACTTTTATTATCCACCATCATAACCACAACCACCACCACTACTAGTAATTTCTTTTGATAGAAACCTATCCGAATCTTCCTTAATTTTACCATACACACCGGAAACTTCTAACTTTGCCAATTTCCCCCCCTTTAACCTGGTTTGGTCCTTTTTGAATTGCTTTGTTCTGTTCCGTTCTTCTGCCCTGAATCAAAAGTTGTTCTATTTTTCTTTTCGTATATAAAAATTCATTTTCTTATGGAAAACTCTAAATTTTTTTGTGAAAAAAATCTTTAACCAAAACTGTTGAAACAACGTAATGTTCTAAGTTTTTTTTTTAATTTAAACTATAAATTTAGCAAACATTACAAAATATAAAATACAAAGAAAAACAAAAAATAAAAATAAACCTATATAAAACAAAACAACCTCAAACCATTTTTTTTGTGATATAAGCTAATTAGGAAGTGGTTCCATTACTTTTTCTCTTATCTACATACAAAAAACAAAGTTCAGTTGTGGGAAATGCTCTATTTTCTAACCACAAAAAACTGCCTCAGCACATTTTTTCTTATGGCAATCACATGGAAGCAATAGCTTTTTTTTGGAAAATCTATATTTAGCCCCTTGGTTGTTAAGCAGTCGCCTCGGCAATATATTGAATATTCAATACACAACCTGTGCACCCCCTTCTCGTTTGTTTTGGTTTGTATGCCGCATAAATATTCTATATGTATTCATTTCTATATGCCGGTTGGGGGGCAATGATTGATAAATTTTCATAAGTGAATGCGTTTTTTGTTGTGAGGTAATTGTCCGAAAAATAAAAATAACCTTGAACTCCACCTAATATGCACATTGGTTTTAAATGACAAGAGTAGAGGAGCCACCCCCTCCCCTCGCCGCCTCATCAATATTAAATCATAAGTTTTGAGTATTATTTTCAAAATGACTCATACGACAACAGCAACCAAGAGTAGTGTATCTCTGAAAAAATTTTGGTGTTTATAATCACATCAGTAATCAAGTATTTCTATTGGTTGGATTATTTTTTTTTGGGGTATAATGATCGACTTTTGTCTTAAAGTTTTACGGCGTCAACCAAGTGGTATGGAAGGCGATTCCAATCGACTTTGTAATTTTGTAAACATAAACTCCGTTATTAATGGAATGGTTTTAAATTTATAAATTATTAACCCTACGGTCAATAACCAAAAAAGTATACGTAGATCAATAACCGTGGTAAATTTGTACCCATCCAAAGATAGCTCTGTAACTCATCAAAAAATTGGACTATCGTAAGGTTTTTTGTTTTAAGTTGCTATAGTTTATACTTGAATAATCTAGATGTAGGGCCTAAAATTATATATACATTAAAATAATATATATTTAAATCCATGCTTAATGATAAATCTAAAACAATCATTTAAGTTCGTTATGTTACCTCGAACATGAAGGTTAAGCTTTTTTAGTTATTTTTTATATGTCCAACCGTGGAAGACAATAACTCTGAAAATGGTCTTACAAATTGGATGAGATGCGCACAAGACCGACGCGCTTGGAAATCCTTTTAAAGCTCGGCTTTTAATATAAATCTAAATGGACTTATATAAAAAGGTTATGCAAATATGGTTTTCAGCTCTCAAGATTATGCCAAACTAGGATTATTGACTTCGCTCTAAAATAAACAAAATGACAGACCTTTGAAAAAATATTTTTGGAAAATCGCCGAATTTTGACCAAAAACCAAGTTAAAAAATAAGAAAGATCTTCAAAGATTGGCTTTATCCTAGTTTTTGAGTTATTGTGCCCGCCATTTAAAAAAGATTTCCCATCGCGTCGGCCTTTTGCGCATCTACTTGATCTTTCCATCGAATTCGTGGCCTTCCCCTTCTGCGTGAACCATCAGCTGGTTCGCTTTTATATGACTATTGAGCTGGGGCATTCTCATTCATTAACACGACAATGGCAATGTCGATGTCCCTGTATAGATGGTAAAGCTCGTGGTTCATTCGACGACGATAATCACCATCAACGCAGATCAGCCCATAGATCTTTAGGAGAATTTTTCTTTGAAACACTCCAAGAGCTGTCTTATCTGCTAGCGCAAGTACCAATGGTTCAGATCCATACACCAGCACGGGTAGTATCAGCGTCTTGTAGAATGGCTCAGTTCTCACGAGGAAATCTCTTGATTTCCTGTTCAAGCTTGAAGGCCCTGACAAACTGACGATCCCCCTGATCCACCCACCGACCGAAGGACTCCTTCAAAGAGTAACCAATGACTGCCACTAATGCTACCATAAGGATCAGATTTGTCAATGATTGCCACTTGAAGATCTTCGTCACCACCTACCTTGGTCGGTCTGCCATATGGCTTCCTCTGTCTCTGACTACGAACCTTGGAGTTAGCTTTTCCAGTTGATGCCTTCTATGTACTAGGCTTTTTCTCCGCCATTTGTTGCCCAGCCACAGCCGCATATGAGATGAAGTCATCGCCTTCTACGGTGAAGGTTGCGGACCTTCTGATAAGCGAATGCGCTTCACATATTTGCTCTGCGGGGCGACATTTTCTCTTCCAGGAGACTATGGTACCTTGCCACGCTTGCCCTTCTACCTGTTCCGACAACTGGTGGACCCACTCAAAGCTTTGGCACAAACCGCTTCACCTTTGTCCCTAGGAGTAGAATCGGGCTTTGGGACAGAGCCTTCCACACGTTGATAACCCTTTTGGATGACAGTTTGTGTCAGGATGTTCTCAGTAGCCTTTTCCTTTGCCTTCTGACTCGGGTTGGGCTACGAGCTATTACCACATTGCTCTTCCGGTACAATTTTGTCTAATTGGTCGAAGATTTCCTTACTCTCCTCCTCTAATCGCGGATAGCGTTAAGGGTCCCGTGTAAGTCGTCCCCTCCCAGAACTACAGTCCTGTAAGTCAAAGACTTGCTCGTCTGCCAATTGAATTGCCGGTTCGTCAACGTTATTCGGGTTTGAAATTGATGCGCTTGTAGCAGATACAGGTGCCAAGGCATCCACACCTAGACCAGCCGGATCACAATCGCTTGATCTCGACGACACATGGCTTGTGATCTCAACAACGATTGCCGCCGAAACTGGGTTATTAACTCTCTGCACCGTAACTTTATTCTTTTTAAAGGTGCTTGTTCACCTCTACATCTCGTATGAACTTTACCAGCATGTTGTTAAAAAGGTCATACGAGAGGATGTCACCTTATCTGAACCCTTGTTCGGTATTCAAGGGCTCCGAGAGGTCATTTCTGACTTTAACTGCTGATCTTGTGCCAGTCAAAGTTATGGTATTATTTTTGCAGGAATGCCGAACGCAGACATGCCTTCAAACATCTCTGAGCGAATTGGGCTTTCGAATGCGGCTTTATAGTCGACGAATAGGTGGAGTGTCGATGCGTTTTTCTTGGGTCTTTTCCAGGATTTGGCGCAGAGTTATAATCTGGTCTGTGGTGGATTTGTCAGGTCTGAAACTGCATTGATATGGTCCAAAAGTATCATTCACCATTGGCTTCAGTCGTTCACACAGTACGCTGGATGTATCGACAGTTGAGCATATTGTACCATGGTTGACAAATTACAAATTTTCTCATTTAAGTCTGCTTTTCCACAGGCAGATTTTTATTTGGCAATTTTTTTGTTTTCTCTTTTGAAATTTTCGCTTGCTTTTCCATTAGCAAATTTTTCTTTGCCAAATTTGCGAATCAAAATACAAAAGAAAGAAAATAAAAGTCAAAAGTGTTTGCATTTTAAAGATTTTTTTAATATTTTATTTATTGTTTATATATTTTATTATATAAATTGCAAAAATTAAAAAATAAATTTCACTTGCACAAATTAAAGCAACAGGTTTGTAAACAAAAGCCGGCTGTGTGTCAGTAAAGCGAATAGGTTCAAAAGGAAATGTCAACAAAATTGTTTTCAACGAACAGAGCAAAGCAGAATTTGCGTGTACGGCAAATTCTGAACAGGCAAATTTTTGTTTTTCTTCCTCGCACCC